AGTTGGCTGCAAGATTTCCTCGAGTGTTTATCTGTGCCTTTCTTTCTCCGTCAGCCGCCTCCGGCCGGAGCCGGTCCTACCTGCCATGTTAGCGTCCGAGAACCGGTAGTTCTTGAGGTTTGCGGAGGTATTTGAAAAATTGAAGCACTTGGCGGCTGGGGCCCTCTCTGCTCTCGGCCACTGTGGGATTGGGCAACGAGTCGCTGTCGAAGCGGCCCGGCGTGAACGTCGCTACCGTCTCTCCTTTGTGGCTTTCGTGTTATGCAGGTTTAAAACTAGTAACTTGATGAGTATTGTAACTTCCCTTTTTTGTTACTAATAGACCCTTAATGCTGAAGAACTTCACCAAGCGAGTATCTGTCTTTTTTCTTGCAAAGTCATGATACTGTGCTCTGAAGGGAGAGAGCCGTTACGATTAAGCTCTCAAACCGAGCGTGTGACACTACACTTACTAATAGGTAGAATGCTATTTTTGTGAATGATGCAGTTGACTCGCAAGTAGAAGGTGCAGTTTGAAGCTGATGGAGGGGGGAATGGCACGGGCAGTACATGAAATCTGAAATACTGCGCTTCTGTAACAGCAGCAGGATGGTGGTTTTAGGAAACGGACTTCTAAACTGCTGCTGCCGTGGAGGGTTCAAAAATATTTAAGATGCTCCACACGAGGGTTTTGGTGTGAGATTTGTCAGGTCTTGGAGAGTATACTCTGTCCTTAGTAGCAGTTACCCTTTGTGGTGGACCGCGGATGGGATGTTTCGCGATGCGGAAGGGAGCTAGTCTTGAGAGAAGGGGCTGGGAGCAGGTTGTTTTTGTCAGTTTGAGCGGCTTTGAGTTCTGCACTTCTTCTGGCTAAAAATTTATTAGTATGATGCCTTATGCAAGAGGAACTCCTCTTTCTAGCATCACAAGCAGCTGGAGTAGATTTTTAGCGCGGTTATAGGCTTTTGCTGATTTTATGCCACACAGTAATGCTATAGTAGATAATTTAGTAGCCAGCTGATCCTATGCATTACTGATAAGTTCTGTTAAGGGGCATGAGAAATGAGATGCTCCTTGCACATAAATTTTACTGGATAGACAGTGTGTTCAATGCTAGCTGCAAAGCAGCCACTGGGCAGAAACAAACTTGAGGTATGAGTTTCTTATTAATATTGATTAGGTAGTTGAACCGTAGCAAGTTGAAATGCGTTTTGCATGTTGTACGCGTGTTTTGAGATGGTGGGTATTGTAATGTGAGAGTTCAGCAGATAACTCCTAGGTCATGGTGAACTATCCTACTGAAAATTTGATTATTTTTTTTTTTTTAGCTCAACTTCGGGAGATAGGCTGTTAGCTTATATAAAGAAATAAGGCTTGTTAGTTATTACTATAAATATTAATGAAGAAAGAGGTACTTCATCTGGGGTGAATTGGCATGGAAGCTATTCAAGCTTGCTTAGGAATTATTTTTCAGTAAGACGGAGTGATTTCAGTTTTGCCTTGCCCTGCCCTGCCTATGTTAGATCTGCCCAAACTTGCTTTGGAAGTTGAGTCTTGCGTCGCGAGCAAATAACTCTGAGCGGGAAACGCTGGAGGAGGAAGGAGAATCTGGTGTACTGGCAGTATTTACTACTTTGTTAATTTCTCTTCTGTCAACTGAATTGCAGAAATATTCAACAGAGATGTCGCTTGCTACAGTATGCCACAGTACAAAACCACGTACTTTGTAAGCTGGAGTTCAGTACCTAAAGATTTAAATGCAGTGTTTTCCGAGACTTTTAAACATAGGAAGCAATCTATGTCCTGCGTTCATCAAAGGCGTAGATTGTCTTGGGTTCTGGACAAACTTATGTCATGCTGATAGCGGGGCAAAACTTCTTAGATGCTGTCGGGTCATGCAATCTTCGTTGTTGATATGGCGGAGCGTCAAGAAGTGAAATTGTTTGAATTGTTGTGCTAAGCTTCTCTTACCGTGTCACAGCTTTTAGTAGGTTACTAAGCAGTCTTGAAATAACTGACAAAAAACTGAAATGTTTTCATATCAAAATGAAATTGCCAGGATTGAAAAATAATTTGCACATAGCAGGAGCTATTTAATATCTGTTGTTTCTTCAGCCACAGCAGACTGTTGACTATCTAAATTTCCTAAACTCTCTCCTTTATACAATTATGTACAGAAATCTATTATTTCAAGTATGGTGCATGGTAGTCATAAACCAGGTAATTGGATAATTATGGGCACCTTTTTGTTTGTGAGAAACTGCTAAGATAATCTGACAAACAATGTTCTGGAATTAGTACCAGCTGAAGCTGCCGCCGTTCGCTCTGCTCTAATGCTGCCTTCTGTGGTGTGTTACCAAATACGTAACTGTGGCTAATTGCTTCTAAAGCTCTTGTCCCAAATGCTGGCGTGGAATGAATGTTGCGTGGCCTGGGAAGGTCAGAGAATGCAACTGTTGTCTTTTCATAATGATCATAAAGGGAAGAGGTTTTTGGAGGGGAGCAGTGTGTGTCAGGTAGGTGTGTTAGTGGTACGATAGTTTCTTCGTTCAAGACGGGGTGTGTTAATAACACCAGTATCTGAAGAGAGTAATAGCGTGTGCATCTTGCTCAGCTAGGTTTTTTGGGTTTTCTTGACTATGTTGCAAGTTTTCTTTAGAGCCTGTCTGAAGCCTGCTGAAGTATTGTGTGTATTAAAGTGCCTGCTTTACATCTCTAGTGTTCTCAAATGTCTGCCAGAAACTTAAGGTGAATACAAAGTTGTTTGCACTGTTGCAATTCATTTTTGTAAAGGGGAGTGAATGAGGCATTCCTTTTCTTAGAGGTGTATTTCGGTAGCAATCACTAGCAATCACATTAGGTTAATTTCTATGGAGGAGTATAAAGACGGGGAAGCTGCTGATCCCTTTTTCTTGTACATAGGGTAAAAACTGCTGTCATGCAGTTGACTTCCTGCAGATCCACAGGAAAATCCTGTGGATTTTCATAGTTCTTGACAAAGCAGTGCTACTTATTGACCTGCTGCGATTCAGTTCCAAATCAAGTCTCCTCTTGCTTTCGTTATTTCTGGTGTTCTACGGTAGAGACAGATAAGATAGACACGTGGGTGGTGGCCAATTGATAGGATATTATCAAGTAGTCATGGGACCAGTATATTTAGAAGTGCAGATGCAGGTAATGGTAGTCTTCAGAGCCTTGTTTTGTTTTGCACCTGAAGTTCATGGTGGCAATTAGTTTAAAAGAAAAAAAATGCACAGCAGTGCGCAACTTCTCACAGTTACTCAGTGCTTCGGTGTCTCTCTTTAATGGCCGTGGTGCTGTATCATGAGGAGATGCCCAAATCGTTTTTATGTTGGGTGGTAACTTCACTGTCTGAGTATGTGCGAGGCCCATATTGTCTTTTTTTTTTTCCCAGGTGGCATCACAAATGGTACAGTATTGTTTTGCAGTAATCTGACCTTCTCTACTGTTTTGTTGCTCTTTTTGTTTGCTGGACAGGTGGATCATATGTGTGTGTATTAGGACTCTGGACTGTGTGGGAATCTTATTTGCTTTTTGAGTATTAACTGGTTTTTTATTATTATTATTGTCCATAGCTCCAGAAAAGGTTACCAGCAATTTTAACTGCTATGTTGATAATCATAATTTACCAGAAAAAGTATATTGTTTCCAGGCCACCCTTGTCTCTTTTCCTGACTGGGCTTTTGGAGTCGCTCCCACCTGTGGGCCAGGGGAGAAAAGAACAGTCTTTCCTCAGAGGCTGAAAGCTGTCAGGGTGCTTAGCCCATCCCTGATGCTGAATTATTCTTCTCTAGTGGAAAAAAAAAAAAAGACACTGAGTGAAACAGTGAGAGAAATAACTTGTAAGTATATGAGACACCTTAGAAGCTGTTTAATTGGCTTGTCTACTGTTAAATGTGTTTGTAACGAGTGACACAAAAATAGAAACTTGTTTTGAAATTTGGCAAGGCAGAGGCATAGGAACGCAGGCGAAGTCAACAGGCTGTTCATAGGGGGTACCCCATGTGGGTCCCCTAGCGCTTCCCAAAACTTGCTTTCAAGCAGGAGAACCACTTGGACTAACTCTCTGTCCAGAAAAGTGGAGCCTGTAGGTAGACACCTTAAAACGGAAAACATCAGCTAAAGCTGTTAAGGTTTGATAAACTATGAGCAACTCTTAAGTACAGCCTTACAACAGAAAGCATCTGAATAGACAGAAGGTAGTTTTGCAGATCTCGTGTATGTATATTTTTATGGATGCAACTTCTTTTTCCTGACTGATATCAATAGCTCATAGCCTAATAACTAATTATTACTGTGTTTGCAGGCAGTATCAAGTTTAACGCGGGGGGGTTTTTTTGTGAGCCCTAAAATTCTGGGACTAAAAATAAATTTGTTGTGAGAAATCGTTATTTGTTTCTCAACTTTGGCAGTAATGTCAGTATTTCTTTTTCTAATCATTTCTCTGAGACTGTCCTAGTTAAAAACATCTAAATTATTGTGTCCTTGGAGTTCCTTGCTTAATCTCATCTTTGGATGCATGAGCTGTAACCACTGGTTAGGGTTGCTGGGGGTTTTTTGTTTGGGTTTTTTGTTTTTGGGGTTTTTTTGAGTTTTTTGGGGGGGGGGAGTTGAGAGCTTTATATACATGGTTGTCTGTATTTGCTAGGAATGACTTTTAAACCATCAGGTGTAATAAGATTGTAATTTTTTTATGCATAAAGGCTTGTGACAGCATCTCTTTTTGTCTCTGCTAGGGTTTTGGTTGTGAGGTTAAAACTATAGATCGAAGAACTTAATTACACGTGCAAGGAGCAGTGATAGTTGTCAGAGCACCTGGCTGTCAGGTTTTCTCCACACACAAAAAAACCCCAAGAAATGTAAAACCTGTGGCTAATTAGGGAGCTAATCTGTATTCTTCAGAGAGGATCATCTGCTATGCTGAGCAGTGAACCACAGATCTTTAAAACACTAAAAAGGGAGGGCATTAGGCCAGTGCATGGTAAATTATTTGTAGTTTCTCAAGCATGGACTAAACGGTCTTGTGAAGCAAGGCTCCCCTAGAGTCACTACAGGTTGTGGGAAGTAAGTTTTTCATTTAACTGTAGCATTGGCTTTGAAGGGTTCGTTGCCAGATCCCTTGACAGCTCTGACATATATCCGTTACCAATACATCTGACAGGTAGCTGTTACCAATTATATCTGTTTCAAACCCTTTTTCTTCCCAAATTAGCTAGTATGGCTGTTAGTTCTGGTGGGGAAAAAGACATAAAGCAGTTAATCGTTAATTCCATGGAAACATAATCTGATCTGCATGATTCTACCCCTTCAGCATTAATGCAATTGATGTTTTTTTTCTTCCACAGAGTTAATTTTTAGATGGATTAGCTCCTTGAACTTGTTTTGAATGGTGTGGTATTCTTTGTTTATCTAACTGTTAACTGGTAACTCAGATGTTTTCTAATTATGAAGTTAGAGCTGATGTTACGTTGAGACATAACAGTAGTCTGTGTAGATTTTTGTCCCTGATGTGCTATGAAAGCCTACAGTTGTTTCAGTTTTTCTCTCTTTCAAACAAAATTTTTGGATCGTGGCCCAAAGAAATATTCTTCTGAATTGAAATATTTGAGGAATTTTTTCTGAATGAATTCTACTGTTGAGCAGAGTCTCCAGACTTATTTCCAACTTCTGCCTTATGTGGGTATTGATACTCCTTTATTTTATTTTATTTATTTAATTTTTTTTATTAGTAATGTTGTTGTTGTTTAAAATTTCTTAGCAGAAAAGACCAATATTGGGAGCTTGGCGCTTCTTACGCGTAAGTGAGAGAGGGCATTTGTTTTGACAGGCCAGAGATAACCACACCCAAGTGCTTGGATAGTGCTGCGTTATGTGGGCATGCTTTAGGACAAAGTAGTCAGTGCGGAAATCTTTTTGCCTATTCACCAGACAGTGAGTCGGAAAGGGACTCCTCTTCATTTCCCAGAGCTTGCATCAGCTAAACTGTAGTAATGGCCACATCTCTCCAAGTAATGGCTAGTTTCTTACCTTGTGTATTGGAGGTGTGCAGGAGTTTTGTAGCGCTGTACTGTATTACTATTTTGGTTCATGAGTGTGAGTTGAAAATATCATTTGCTACTATGCAAGCGTGCCTGATGTGCTAACATAGCAAGGGGTTGATGAAATTGGCAGTTAGGAAACCTTGCATTAAGAAAGAGTGACTCAGTTATTAAGTGGTGGGCTGTGGATTTGAGAGAACATATTAATATGCTAACATGGACGGCCCATAGCAGTATTTACTGCTAGGTGTAAGTTTATGACCTGCTTATCACTTCATTGGGGCTGACAGAACTTGTTCCCTAACTGTTGGAATTCACCTGTTTCACTTTCTTTCAGTGAGTATTGTGTAACCCGCTCGCTGCCCAAGATGGTGAAGCTGGATATACACACGCTGGCTCATCACCTCAAGCAGGAACGACTGTATGTAAACTCAGAAAAGCAACTTATTCAAAGGCTCAATGCAGATGTATTGAAGACAGCTGAAAAGCTGTACCGCACAGCATGGATTTCCAAGCAGCAAAGGATTAACTTGGACAGACTGATCATAACAAGGTGACTTGCGGGGGGTGGTCCTGGGGAGAACAAGCTCCTAAACTTCTGTGAATTGCAGCAAATCCATCAGATCTTTCACACTTAGTATCTGGAATCCTTTGCTGTACTAATCATAAAACTAGTAAGGCTTTAAAACAAATCTCAACTAGGGAATCTGACTCACCTGAAACTTAATTGTTGGCTGTTTAAGCTACCTTTTATTAATATGTGTGTTTGTTTTGCTTCTGTTCATAGTTTATGGGAACAAACTCTCCTTACTCCTGAATTTGCAAATGATTTGTATTAACTATATGGAAAGACTTTTTTCTTGGTGGTAGTCTTGTTAATAGATTGACCATGTGGCATCTTTCATGAAGGTTGTTTGCTTAAGAGTTACTTAAACTGTTTCAATGTTTTTCTTTAAAGTGCTGAAGCTTCTCGGCTCATGTTCAGCTGGCTGTCAACCAACACCCCCAGATCCTTTTCTGCCAGGCAAGTTGGGATTTCAGGAGACTGCTTATGGAGAATTCCTAAACAGATTGAGAGAGAACCCTAGGCTTATTGCATCCTGTCTGGTTGCTGGAGAGAAGCTCAACCAGGACAACACTCAGAGTGTCATTCACACAGTCTTTACCTCCATTTATGGCAATTGCATCATGCAGGAGGATGAGAGCTACCTTCTCCAGGTCCTCCGTTACTTGATTGAATTTGAACTCAAGGAAAGCGACAAACCTAGGCGGCTCTTGAGACGAGGCACCTGTGCATTCAGCATCTTATTCAAACTTTTCTCTGAAGGACTCTTTTCTGCAAAACTTTTTCTTACTGCAACTTTACATGAGCCAATCATGCAGCTTCTTGTTGAAGATGAAGACCACCTGGAAACTGATCCAAACAAGTTAATTGAGAGATTCTCCCCAGTACAACAGGAAAAGTTATTTGGAGAGAAAGGCACAGAAAAGTTCAAGCAAAGAGTCCAAGAGATGGTTGACTCCAATGAGGCCAAGCTGGTGACCTTGGTGAACAAATTCATTGGCTATCTCAAACAAAATACTTACTGTTTTCCTCACAGCTTGAGATGGATTGTGTCACAAATGTACAAAACTCTCTCATGTGTAGACAGGCTGGAGGTCGGGGAGGTCAGAGCAATGTGCACAGATCTTCTTCTAGCGTGTTTCATCTGTCCTGCGATTGTTAACCCAGAACAGTATGGGATAATTTCTGATGCTCCTATAAATGAGGTGGCAAGATTTAATCTGATGCAGGTATGATTCACTTTAAAGTAGTCTTAAAAAAAAAAGAAGTATGAGAAATGTTCTTGGCCTTTTTTTTTTTTCCCCACTAGAACTGATGTTACTACAGTAAAGGTAAAGGTACTGTCCATCCTACCTGTAAGACAAATGCTAACAAAATATTTGTGTCATCACTGCTGAAAAGGCATGCTCTAAAGTTTATCTGTTTGCTTAAAATACTGACTTAAAAATTGATAGCATGTGTTCCTTTATCTCTTAGAAGAGTTGCAAATGTGCTTTATAAAAGCTATTATAAGGGATGGAAGCTAAAGTGTAAAAGTGACTATAAGATGAATTCTGGAATGTGTGTAAATAGATCTTGTGCTGTTCTTGCTAATATTAAATATTATGCCAGGTATTGCACAAAATAATGACATATTTTGCTGAAAAAACCTTGTCTGGCAGTAATGACCACTGTTTCTGCTGGGTAGCTATCTACTGTTTTATTGGACCTTACAGCCCTCATGACAGATTTTTGTCTTTGTGCAAATACTTGGGGAATTTAATGATAGTATGTAGAGGTGTAGTCTGAGGGTATCAAGCAACACTTGTCTGACTGAGGATATTCCCCACACAAGTAACAAAACCTACTTTTTAATGTTGTCTGTAAACTGGACGGTGAGTGATTCTCACAGTATAATGTTCTGGTGAGTTTTACTCACTAGACTGTTACTGACAGGGCCTTGCCAGTGTTTTTCTAAAATACGTTAGCAGTCCTCTCCTGTGTCACTGCTTGCATGTTGTAGCAGAGCTTGCGGTTGGCGACTCTTTAAAATTGAGAGTTGTTTTGCAATTGGAGATTAATGAGGAATATATGCTCTGAAACAAGGGTTATCCCTCTTGCTTCCCCCCCCCCCCCCCCCCATATTCTTATAAAAATATATACAGCCCTTTAAAATCTCTAGGTTTAAGATGACCTAGATTCAACTCTCAGTTCTGATGTGTTGTAAAAACAAAACACGCTTTGTTCCTGGGAAGGGGGGAAGTATGGATGCTCATAGCACACTGCGTGCGCAGATTTTCTTGTTAAATGCAATGACTGCTTTTTTCTAAAGCTTCTTGCATTTTTTCTGCCCTGAAAGCGAGCGCAAGACTCTGTCCATTCAATCAGAAGTATTTCTCGGAGTATTAAATGAAAAAATAATTAGAATGGAGTTGTCTTAACTAATTTTTATAATTGGGTCCATCATGATGATGTTTTGAAATGCTTATTTTTCATACTTCTTTTTCATTTCAGGTTGGGAGACTTCTGCAGCAACTGGCAATGACGGGCTCTGAAGAGGGAGATCCACGTATGAAGAGCAACCTTGCTAAATTTGACAAAGTAAGAATCCAGACTGAAAAAAGCTAAGACTCGTGTATACTTCATCCTTCTGCAGTCTCTCTTTGCAGACACTAAGTGTTTAACTTCCGAGTTACAAGTACTGAAAAGCAGATTAAATCCTGCACGAAGCTGGGAAGAAAATCTTGAGTACTAGAATTAGGGGTCGGGGATTCTTGCTTCTACTCTGACATAATACTTCTTAAAAGAAAATGCAAAAAGGAAATAAAAGCAAGTTACCTTTTAAACTAAAATGCTGAATTACTGTCTGTGGTTTTTCTACTGAACCTAAGGAAAACATTTTAATCATGAAGACAACTTTTGTATGAAGTCTACTTTAAAACCAAGTAATTTGTTGGTGCAAGAAACTTCTGTTCCTTTTTTTTGCGTAGTTTTGCTTTTTTTTGTTCAGCTTTTCCTTTGTTAGTATAAATCATCCATAGCAATACTGAAATTAGCTTCATCAGAGGAACGGTGAAACTAATGATCTTTGATGTATTGTCATATGTTTAAAAAAACTGTTGATTTGCTTGTGTAACTTCCAGGTTTTTGCTAATTATAATTTACACAGTCATCGTACAAAGTTACACATGTATTATACAAGTAACATTCAATCAGATTAGAAAGTGACATTGTGTGTTGCTTCCTTGTTTCACTTTTAGTCTGTGCTCAGCAGATTCTTCAGGAAGGGGCAGTTTAATTGCCATAAAACAGTTTAATTTTTTTTTTAAATTATAAGAAGACACTTAAGTAAGTAACACTTTTGTATACAGAAAAGGAATGAAGGAAATGCTAAAACTAACTGCATGCGTTCCTTGCTTGCTCTTCAGTGATTTTAATGATACATGGTACTTTATCCTAAGACTTTAAAAATAGGAAGCAAAACTGATATCGTCATGTAAACTACTTAACTCCTGTTGTAACTTGTGTTCTTTCCAAACTCTAGTAAATGGTCTCTCGTTTAAAAACTATTTCTTCTCTTTGCAGAGCTGTGTTGCTGCTTTCCTGGATGTAGTTATTGATGGGCGTGCAGTTGAAACTCCTCCAATGTCTTCTGTTAACCTTCTGGAAGGGTTGAGTAGAACAGTGGTTTACATGACATACAGCCAGCTAACAATTCTGGTAATATCTTAAGTTCTTAAAAAGAAATAGTATAAACTTGTCCCCATGTGTTTACAGATAGGATAAACAAGGCTGATAATTTACGCTGCAATTCTTACCAACACTAATTCTAAATTTTTAGGTTGGCTTTATGCGGAATGTAATGTCAAGCGATCAACTTAAGGAAGATCGGATGGCTTTGGAAAACTTGCTGACAAACTTACCCCAGAACAAACCAGGGAAAAGCAGCAGCCTTGAAATGACTCCATATAACACCCCACAACTTTCTCCTGCAACTACTCCAGCTAACAAAAAAAATCGATTACCAATAGGTAAGAGAGCAAGCAGACTTCTTGCGTGATTTCTGATACCTTGATACATTTTCTGTGCCATTTTTTGAGTCATGTCTTGGGGTTACTCTTCAACTGCACCTTCAGTTCCTACTTTTTCTGTGTAGATGGTGAAGAATTTTTTTTGCATAGAAAGCCAGGTAATGTCCTTACTTTCTGATGCAAGTATGGTGAGCTTCCTCACTCTGGATTGAACTTGAGAAAAACGCTGAAGTGGTTGGTAGTCACGCTAGTGCAGTGGTAATAAGGGGAAAGTTTGAAGATGGGAAGCAGATCTAGGAGGGCAGATTGCTTAGGAAAGCGGTAAGCTGGAAGCGATGACATTTAATTAGCAGGATAGAATAAGTTTTTAGAATTTTTGTGTCTCAGAAGAGAGCAAATGTGGAGGAGGATGAAAAAGGCAGAGCAGAACTTTTAGAGTATGTGCTGAGAAGAGAAGCTTTCTTCTTTCTCCATTATTTGCCCAGTCTAATTCCAATTGTTAGTATATTGTAATGTAATTTTATGTTTGTTGGGTTTTTGCCCTCTTTTTGAATAGGATTTCTGGGTCTTGAACTTTTCCATTTCAATAATATTTTCTTTTAAAATATGAAGTGCGGTACTCTTCTTCAGTGTACATTTACATGAATATGACCACATGGGATACTTTTGTTTGTTTGAGAGATTTGGTGTTAGTGTGTAACAGGATGAAAATACGTAGAGCCTGATAAGTGGCAAAAAACCCCATAAAACCAACCCCAGAACGAACCTATCCCATGTTGTTTTAACTCTGCTTCTGAACGGTTCTGGTCTTATGCCTATAAAGTAGTGGCACAACGGCATTTATTTTATCGTATAAAATAGTTTTTGCTCAAATTTTTTATTTCTTTTGTTTCATTTTAATGCTTTCGAAATCCAGGACAGCAATTGGCAGCCATTACTGCCTGGGATACTTCTGCTACCAATCTTTCAGCTCATATAACTCTAGTAACCCCTTTTGGTGGGTAATGCCCTCTTTCCATTCTTCTCTGTGAAAGTTTTACTTATAACGCGACTTAAGCATGCCTTTGGTTTACTTTGGCAGTCAGTTGATTTTTCAGATTTCTTCATTGATTTCTATACAAAACTCATTTTGTACGTACATGTAGTTTTTAAAAACACCTTGTGTGCCTTTGTGTGATAATCAAAATTTGGCTGTGATTTCAGCACACTTGCCTTGTTTTCCCTGGATCAAATAAAGAAATAACTGGTGCCATGCCACCATATTTAGAAATCTTAATGCCATGTGAGTGTGTTTGCTTCCACGGTGCCAAACGTGGGAATATGAGGCTACTTGAAAAGACTGATAAAGAGTCATGAAATAATGAAAGTAAACCACCTGATGTTGAATTGTGTGTCTGGATTTGAGACACGTGTTAGAATAAGATTTCCCTGCTTTTTAGGAGAAAAAACTTCTAAATAAATTAATTAAACAGAGTTATAAACCACAGGAACCTAGACTTTTTTTTTTGTTACAAACTTCATTTTCTGAATTAATTTATGAAGGGTCTTTCTGTGATTGGAATACACTGAATTTGTGTAGGCAAACAGGACATTGTTTCTCTAAACTTTTATGTTGAAAGTTTGCTTTTTCACAGCTCAGTACTCAAATTTAAACACTAGTTCCATCTCTCAAAGTCTAATATGACTTTTCATTTTGTAAGTTTATTTAGTATGCCTATTATTATTTCAAAACATTGCCGTTCTGTATTTCCATTGTGTTGTCTTTTTTTTTTTCCTCCTTAAACAAGGAAATGTTTCTAATGTTGATATTTCAAAATATTTTCTTAGCAACTCGTAGCAGAAGTAGATCAAATATTCTGATAGATCAGCACGGAGATCATGAAGGGTCCTCCCAGGAGACTATCCCAGAAGTTCAGCCGGAAGAAGTGCTGGTGATTTCTCTGGGGACAGGTCCACAGATTACTCCAGGAATGATGTCAGAAAATGAGGTATGCGAAAACTATCACGTCTCAGATATTTTGAAAAGTAACAGCCTCTGTGTTCTCTAACAGGAGAACAATGAAGTTGTAACACTAAGTTTTGGGTAATAAATCCAGAATGGGAATTAAAATCCTTACTTCATTTTACTGAAGTTGTAGCTTTCAAATTTCCTTTTGTTAGATTCCTCCCCCCCCTCCCCCTTAGTGTATCTGCAAGGTGTGAAAAGCAGTATATTAACACAGGAAAAATGATCCTGGCACATTTATGAAGAGGCTTTGTCATATAACATGCTTAAGAGCAAACTTGGGCTATTGCTTCTGAGCCTGAAGAAACTGATTCTGTTGTCTCTCTGCATGCTCTGTGCTTTGGATCAAGTGGCACAGGTGAATGACAGAATGGTAACACTGATCCCAATGTTTTTGGCAGCTCAGACTTGAAACACACAAGCCCAGCTTCTTGTGAGGGTGGAGCTGTGGTCAAGTTGCCATGAATGCGTTCAGACTATGTTGCTTAGGGTAAGGCTGGTTTTACAGCCTTTTCTTTTACCAGCCATGGCACAGCTTCTGCTTTCATCTTTGCTGCCTTGCCTGATAGTTTGGATTATCTCCTTTTGCAGCCTCGTAACGATCAGTTTCCGTATTATATTAGTCTGCTGGGGTGATGAGGGAGCTGGTGGTTCCGTTATTATCAGGACTTGCCTTACGTTCACATCTTTGTTACCTTACGTTCTCTCCAGGCTCTGACTTTGGAGATAGCTGACTTTTTTTTCCAAACGGAATGTTAGAAATTTGATTGTGCCATTAACATCTAGGGGAAAAAATGCAAAAAATGTATGCAATGTTTTGTTTACTGCTTAATTATCTGAAAAATAGATTATTTTAAGGAAGTCTTGTTTCTTTCCCCCCACTCTCCAGGTCTTAAATATGCAGCTTGCAGATGGCGGACAAGGAGATGTCCCTGTTGATGAAAACAAACTCCATGGTAAACCTGATAAAACCTTGCGCTTTTCCCTCTGCAGTGATAATCTGGAAGGAATATCTGAAGGTGAAGGGCTACTTAAGTCTTGAAGAAGTTTTGTCCCTTTTTTTTTTCCTTAACTATAAAAGGAACTTGTGTTAAATACAGCATGTCACCTTTGCCATTTTGAAGACTGTGCTTGTTATGTTACCCTGAGAGCCTGTCTTTTCTCTTAGCCATTCAAAGGAAAAAGTCTGGAGGTAAATTTTGACCTGCAAAGGCATAACTGAGTCTGAGAACTAGGAAGAAAAAAACTAAGTGTATTTAGAAAGAGAAAACAAAGGGATTTTTTTTTTTTTTAAACTTAAGTGCAGTACTAATTATTAAGATAATCTAACTCAGCTCTAAACTTAGACTTCTCAGACTTATTTTTCGTTGTGTTTTAATAACCTATTACATATTGCAGAATAGTTTCTGGACTCTGGACAACTCCTTTATATGAACCTCAGACACAACAAAGCACAGGTTTATTTGTGGTAGTGAAGAGGTTTGTACAGATCACTCAGCATGCATTATTTTGTGTAACTTCCATAATTTAGTTTTTGCTTGCTCTCTCTTCAAAATAAGAAAACAAATTTATGGACAAATAAATTAATGGCAAAGACTTTATTGACTTTTTAGTTACAGTTAAGTACAGTAATGGTGAGATTCCAGCTGTTTCTGGTAACGTATTTGTAGATTATTGTAATTAGTATAGTACTCTAAACATGGGAAGTACAAATCACAGTGTGGGCTAAGTATCTATAGAATAGAGTAGAGCAAATGTACATTTAGTGCAACTCAGTGTTTTATATTGGAACTGCTACTTCATTTCTTTTCATCTTTCTAGTTAATTGTGTCCTGGGTGGGTTGTTAATGCTGTACATCTAGGAACTGTTGTTCAAATTAGACTTAGAGTAAAATCTGTTTTCACAGGTCCTTCAAATCGCTCCAACTCTGTGTCATCTTTGGATTTAGAAGGGGAGTCTGTGTCAGAGCTTGGCGCGGGCCCCTCTGGGAGCAATGGCGTTGAAGCTCTGCAGCTGTTAGAGCACGAACAAGGCAGGTGCAAATTCTCTCATACAAGTGCCTGAGGTGCTGTAGATGGTAAAGCCAAAGTTCTGTGGAAAAAGGTTGAAAAATTGACTAGTTCAGGAAAAAATAAGTAAAAGTTTTCTTTGTGCAGTTGCTCTTGCATTTATTTATGGGTTTGGTTTTTTTCCCAAGAAAAATTTCTTGTAGTCCATTGTTAAGAAAAGGAAATTGGATGGGTTTTGGAGGCTTAAGTCCTTTACAGGAAACTGCTTGTGAAGTTTTGCTTGATACCAAGTTTTTCCTTTCAGGGAACAGGATGGTCTGGATTGGAGTAGTCTTAAAGCCTCTGGCTAGCCTCCTGTTTAATATATATTTGTCAAATGCTGGAACAGGTTCCCAAAGAGGTTGTGGTGTCTCAACCTTGGAGATACTCAAAACATGACTGGACATGACTATGAGCAACCTGCTGTAATTTACCCTGTTTTGTGTAGGGGGTTTGGACTTGGATGATCTCTGGAGGCCTCAGCTTTTCTGTGATAAGTTCTTACAGGAATTGTTCTTGATAGTGTGCTAAATTTTATTCATTTTGTCTGTCAATGTGGTTGACAGGTCACCATGTGTAGTTTAAGATTTTTCTTCTTACGTCTCAAATGTGCTTAAAAATTATTTTCAGGCAGCATCTCTTGAATAGTATAATAGTGCTTTACAGGCCTTACTTTAAAACACTGTCGTACCTGGCAGAATTAGAGGGTTGTTCTGTTTGGGTTGTATTTTCCCTCTTTTCATAGAAACATAGAATCATTAAAGTTGGAAAAGACCTCTTAAGATCGAGTCCAACCGTCAACCCAACACCACCATGCCCACTAAACCATGTCCCTAAGTACCTCATCTACACGTCTTTTAAATGCCTCCAGGGATGGTGACTCAACCACTTCCCTGGGCAGCCTGGTCCAATGTTTAACCACTCTTTCAGTAAAGAAATTTTTCCTCACGTCCAATCTAAACCTCCCCTGGCACAACTTGAGGCCATTTCCTCTTGTCCTATTGCTAGTTACTTGGGAGAAGAGACCAACACCCCCCTCGCTACAGCCTCCTTTCAGGTAGTTGTAGAGAGCAATGAGGTCTCCCCTCAGCCTCCTTTTCTCCAGGCTAAACAACCCCAGTTCCCTCAGCCGCTCCTCATCAGACTTGTTCTCCAGACCCCTCACCAGCCTTGTTGCCCTTCTCTGGACACGCTCCAGCACCTCGATGTCCTTCTTGTAGTGAGGGGCCCAAAACTGAACACAGTATTCGAGGTGCGGCCTCACCAGGGCCGAGTACAGGGGCACGATCACTTCCCTACTCCTGCTGGCCACACTATTTCTGATACAGGCCAGGATGCCATTGGCTTTCTTGGCCACCTGGGCACACTGCCGGCTCATGTTCAGCTGGCTGTCAACCAGCACCCCCAGGTCCTTCTCTGACAGGCAATTTTCAATCAGAAGTAATTGGAGAAGCCTTTTAAAAAAATGAGAACTTTTTATTTTTACATAGCCACAACTCAGGATAATCTTGATGACAAGCTCCGTAAATTTGAAATCCGTGATATGATGGGGTTGACTGATGACAGAGATATATCAGAAACTGTGAGCGAAACTTGGAGTACAGATGTCTTGGGAAGTGACTTCGATCCAAATATTGATGAAGATCGTTTGCAAGAAATAGCAGGTAACTTGGTGGTACATCTGGTATGTTAAAATGCTTCATGCTTGCTCTAAAATAGTGAGACTGCAGAGCCCTCCTCCTCTCTTTCTAAATAGGTGTCTTTTCATTGATTAAACTGGAGCTTTTCTGTAGGAGAATTTTGTGTGCATGACCTGTATTGCATTTGGTTGCTCATTTTTATCTTTTCAACATTGTCTTTCATGATTACTTTATTAAGGACACTTAAAATGTGTTCTTATTTTTCTCTCTTATTAGAGCTGTCTTCAGGAAGCCTATATCTAGCTATATGCTTCGGCTTTACTTTTGCAGGTGCAGCTGCAGAGAACATGCTAGGCAGCTTGCTGTGTTTACCAGGTTCAGGATCCGTGTTGCTTGATCCCTGCACAGGTTCAACCATATCAGAAACCACAAGTGAGGCCTGGAGCGTGGAAGTATTACCAAGTGATTCAGGTCAGAATCGTGCAGTTTTTGCTTATTTCTTTAGCATGACTCAAGACTCTTCCAGAGGCATGTAATGCAAAGCAACAAACTCTTTCTCTCTCTCTTGGAGAAATTATTGTCCTAGGGTTAAGTTAGTGTTTGTGAATACTTCCAGTATTAAAAGGAGGAACTGTTCCTAAGCAGAGAGAAGATGGAAAGCATTGTGACAGTTACTGTTACTTAAGAAATCGCAGTTTACTTTGGTTAATGAAGATTTGATTGTATACTGTTGTCTCTAAGAAATACAATACTTAAAACAGCAGAAACTTCTTAGAATGCCCGTGCAGATAGAGCATTGCTATCTGTGCAGAGTCCTGCATTCTGTATAGGAAGAAAACTCTTGCTGAAGTGGTTGAGTTAGCTTAGAACTTAATATACTAAATCAACACATAGCCCCCTTCCCTCTGTATGTGAACATTTAAAGGAGCATGGCACTGAGTAATGATACTTTTTCTCTCCACTCTCCATTGTCTCCATTTTGTAGAGGCCCCAGACTTAAAACAGGAGGAAAGACTACAAGAACTGGAAAGCTGTTCTGGCCTGGGTAGCACATCTGATGACACAGATGTAAGGGAGGTCAGTTCTCGACCCAGTACACCAGGCCTCAGCGTTGTATCAGGTGTGTTTAAATGCCTCTGAAAACACGCTGCTGTATTAGAGCATCTGCTTTGCTGCACTTGCTTTAGTTATACGTAACTTCACTCGCACAATAACTTTTTGCACTCATTCTGGAATTTTCGAAGCAGTAATTCTTTGTTCGTCTTACAGAAGAAATAAAAAAGGCAGCAGAGCATCAAATACTCTGTGCTACAATAGCAATGGCATTCTGCAAAATAATTAGCAGAGTGAAGCATCTTTCTAATGCCTGTTGTCAAAGTGTATTCATGGCTATGTTAAAACAGTTGAAGATGTAGAGCAGAAATAAAACTTATTTTAGGAGTATAGAAATTCAGAATGGAATGTCTCTAGGTGCTACTGTGAGTTAGGACTTGATTATTGCAGTGTTCACCAAACATTTTAACAGCTTCAGGATTTTGCTTCCTTTTTCTCTGAAAGACTATTACAGATTCTTCTTTTATGTGTAAGGTATTAGTGCAACATCTGAAGATATTCCTAATAAGATTGAGGATCTCAGGTCTGAATGTAGCTCTGACTTTGGGGGAAAAGATTCTGTGACAAGTCCACCCATGGATGAAACGGCCCATGGTAAGTAAGTTACCTGTAAATGAGGATCAGAATCTTTGATAACTGAGGTCTCACAACATTGCTTAAAATGACATTTGTAGAATACTTTAATCTTACAATTTCTCCCAATTTCAAAGTTCTGGTGGCTAAGCTTAACGTTTTCCTTATTTGATAGCAATGTGTGTGTTTGATAAAGAGACTCCAGTATTTCATAGTACTAGAGCTTGAGTACTAGATTTAAGATCACCTTTTCTTAATTCAGTTTGATTAAATTGACTGTCCTCTTGCACTTTGGAATTGGTCCGCTCCTCAAGATTTCCCCACTTTTTGTGATGTAATTCATTGATCATTTCAGCATAATCCAGAGATCTTTCCATATAAGAATATCTTTAAAAATATTTTGCAATGTAAGTTTGTAAATTTTTGTTGCTGAGGACTGTTGTTCCAATGTCTCTTATGTTGTAGGTATTCTTGTTAGAGTGCTAACGTTTTTTTTTCTGTATTTCAGGAGCCAGTCAGTTGACATCTCCTCCTTCTCAGACAGATTCTTTGCTTGCACTGTTTGACCCTCTGTCATCAAATGAGGGTGAGTTGTAAAGAATAAGCTTTTTTTTTTTTTTTTAAAACAGGCATTTTCAATGCTTCTATGTTAATATCAGCTAATCTGGAAGAATCTTAAAAGCAATGTGTGTGGCTTCTTTTATGCTTATGACCTTAGGTGTATCAGCTGTAGTAAGGCCTAAAGTACACTATGCAAGACCCTCTCATCCACCACCGGATCCACCGATCTTAGAAGGAGCTATGGGAGGTAATGAGGCCCGATTACCAAACTTCGGGTCTCACGCTTTAATTCCAACTGATTTAGAAGCATTCAAGCAGAGGCATTCTTATCCAGAGAGGCTAGTCCGCAGTAGGAGTTCAGATATAGTATCATCAGTTCGGAGACCTATGAGTGATCCTGGGTGGAACCGACGTCCTGGTAATGAGGAGAGGGAGCTTCCTATGCTGACCACCAACACTGGAGCAGCTGTTCTCGTGGCCGCATCTCAGTCATCGTCTTCATCTCCCAGTAAAGACTCCTCTAGGGGAGAGGTAAGGCTTCTCTTTATCCTTTTATTTTTTTCTAGCATGCCCACTTCAATTATGCATGTAATGCCAGAAAGCTGGTATTAAATATGTTTAGTGAAGGAATTACAATGCACTTTTGTTACCTTTTAAACGCTGGTCAATAATGTCTTACAAGCTAAAGCTATAGATGTTCAGAGTGGCTTAAATGAATCTGGCTTCTCTTAAATTTACTGGATGAGCTTTACTTGATTTGGTGGGACTTCAGAAATAGATTTGTTGTAGTGTTTAAATTTAAAATGCTCCAGCATCCTGAAAAGTAATTTTCTTTAAAAAAGAAATAAGTGAAATCTAAGTTTTTCACGTCTTTGGTTTTGCATTTATAGGCTGCCCTCTTCAGAAGGGATATTTCTAACTTAATCTGCTATGGCTTTCTGTGCTCTGCTGTAGTTCTGTTTTTACAGTCAATGTAGCATAACCTGACGTTGAGGAGAAATTTTGTCTTTACACTTGATACGGTAGATGCTCAAATGTAGACTCTGCCCTTCTACAGATTGAAGAACGAAAAGACAGTGATGATGAGAAGTCTGACAGAAACAAGCCCTGGTGGAGGAAACGTTTTGTATCTGCCATGCCCAAAGGTAGGATCATGTCCATCTAGTTTTGGTACTTTAGTAAGTGTGCACGCTACCTTTATTATATCTTTAGTCACTTTTATGGAAAGTTTTTACAGTTCCACTTTGAAAAGCTGACCAGACTGACATAGATTTGTTACAGAGCAATAGCTGTCCTGTTTAATTTTGAGAAATAAAGGATTCTTATTTACAGAATTACAAGTGTTGCAGGAAAGAGAGAATTACTGAAATACAAAGTATGCAGTACCTATAAAGAGGTGTGTAAGCTGAAACAGATTTGGTTAGGCATTGTGTTATCTTAATCATTCGGTAACCTTGGAATCCTTAGTGAGGCCAGTCATTTCATAGTTGTATGGTATTAACTTCATTGCAGCTTCACTGAGAACTAGTCTTAATTCTCTACAGACAGTAGCGTGCTAGTTGAAGAATATTGATAACTTAGGATATCTCTTGTAACACGGCATGAGTGGAAAATAGACTTTGGCTATTTAAAAAGTAAAGTTTGTTCAGGATAATATTTGGCTTTCATGTTGTGAATAATGACAACTGGGGATGGAACAATGTGTGCAATATTAGATATTCTTACCTTTTTTTTTTAAAAACGGACTTCCAGTTAGAAAAGAACCAATGTAATCCTTGCAGTCTCTCCGTGACTTTAGGTAATGATATAGTATTTTAATACCACTTTGTTTGCTTTTCCATTTCACAATGTGCTGTCTTTGTATCTTCTCCCTGAACTTATTAGTGGGAAGGAGTTGCCAGAAAAGATTCATGTCATTATGACCAATGTTTTGAGTTAGGACTATTGGCTAAAGTAAAGTATAAATAAATATGTAAATAAAAGTGGGGAGCTACCTGACTCCCTTTCCTAGTAATTGCCTAGAGCATACTGTACCTGGGAGGCAAAACTGTTCTGCCTGGCTCATGGTAGCATGTCTGTTTAAAGGTAGAGCTTACTACATGATGATAGTACAATTCTGTTCTGCCTCATAGATAGGCTTATGCTTTTGTTGACATTTATTTGATGAGTAACTTCTGCATTAGCCACTTACTTAAAGTTTCTTCAATCTGGCCATTATCTCAGAATAGTCTTTGATAAGGTACCTTCCATTTTCAGCTCCTATTCCATTTAGAAAGAAAGAAAAACAAGAAAAAGACAAAGATGACATGGTGCCTGACAGATACTCAACACTGCAAGGTATGTGAATAATATCATCATAGTAATTTTCTCTCATAACATGCCCTCTAGAGTTCCAGAGTGCCCACCAGGTATCTATTTACAGAAAGGTATATGCTATTGTAGTTAATGTTCACAACTGGCTTTCTGAATAAGAAAGTGGATAAAGACTTCTTGCCTTGAAGACTGTTTTTAAATTGTCATGTTGTTGTCAATATGTATAGTACTGGATTTGTGACTCAAGTCTTTACTCCCCCCCGCCCCCCCCTTATAAAGCTCATGTCCTTATCATAGCTGAGCTGTAAGGATAGGTGCAGACATGTTCCTGTAATAATTACTTAAGTGCTAAATTAAACAACCTGGATGTTTAGTTTTCTGTTTGCCTAATCGTTTCTAGAAGTCTTCAAATATACAAGAACCATTTGTGTATACAGTATAAATATGCTAAGGATCTGGCTTTATTTGTTCACTTTCATTGTACTTTTTTTTTTTTCCCCCCTGCTGTTGCTTCAGACTTTATAGTATATTTAAATTGTGGCTACATGGAACACAAGCAGCTATTTGTTTGATGTGGCTAAAAGCAGAGTCCAAATGTCTAGGTCTAAATTTTTGTATTTGCTTTCAGTTGGCACAATACAAGGTTAACTCCTGTTGTTCTTAATGGTCTTTTCAGATGATCCCAGCCCAAGGCTCAGTGCACAGGCGCAAGCTGCAGAGGACATTCTGGACAAATACAGGAATGCAATTAAGCGAACCAGTCCTAGTGAAGGAGCCATAGTAAACTATGACAGTGCAGGTAAGAACCTGGCTTTTATAATCATCACCAACATAGTTTCTCCTCCTTAAAGATAAAAAACACTCCAGTATTCTAGACAAATATTAGTACTAAGAGACGAACAATGTGAGCTCTAAACCAGGAATATTTGCAAATAACCTGTGGGTCAGTCCCTCAGAGACTGGGAATTAAATCAGTATTCCCATGGACAGCTCTTCCATATTGCCATTGAGGTGGTTGTGTAATAGCACATCTCTTACCAATTTTGGGGGGTTTTTTGTTTGTTTGTTTTTTAATGGATACTGAAGTAGTATATTGCCTTCCAGAACTGATGCAATTTCTTCTTAGTGACTTGTAGGTTGTATATGTTTAATATACTTTTTTCACTTATTCAGAACAAGTTGTTTTATTTGCTGTCTCCATCCCCCCGCCCCCAACCTTAGAATAACAAGAAGAAAATAGAGAATATTAGTCTAGTTTCTTCTTCTGACTCCTCTCTTCAAGTGTAATGTTGGCTTTTTCATTTCCATAGAGCCTATTGGGGATGGTGAGAGTATGCATGACTCTCCACGTGATGAGGCTTTGCAAAACATGTCTGCAGATGATCTCCCGGACTCTGCAAGTCAAGTAGCACAGCCACAAAGTTCTGCTTTCTCCTATAGGTAAATATATTTGCAGGTTTAATCTTACCTACAAAGTAGAACTGAAGCCATGTAATTGGTTCCCACAAAAATCTTAGCATGAATTAATTGTAAACTTTTATGTGCTTTTAGTTTTAAGCATCTCAAACTGTTGTATTTATACTTATGAAGGGGGGATATTTTAAACTGGGAGGACAGAGCAGTTCAGTGTTAGGAAAATTCTTTTGAAACTGGTCTAGGTGCTATATCAAAAGAACTGATATTCTAAACTCTTGACAACATTGGTGTATTAAAATTACATTAAATAACGTTTAGGCAGTATTAAACAAACAAACAAAAAAACCAAAAAGTAAAAGACTGTTTATTGAAGAAGTAGACCTTGCAGCAACTTTGTTAAGAAAATGTTTTTCCTCTTTAAGGGATGCGAAGAAGAAATTGAGATTGGCTCTCTGTTCAGCAGATTCTGTTGCCTTCCCAATGTTGACACATTCAACAAGGAATGGTCTACCAGATCACACAGACCCTGAAGGTAAATGTTCTTTATGCATACAGGTATTTTGTATTGTATGTGACGCTTCCCCCATCTAATGGCACTTGTACTGCATCATTTATGATAACTTCTGTTTGGCATAGATGTAGAAGGCCTAGGCTGCCTTTTGCCCCCCAGAATGTTTTCTTTCTCACTCCCCAAACCAACCTGCCAGCTAAACCTAGTCTAATTTTTTTTGTAATGAAGTATCTCAGGTATAGTGCAGGCAGAGCCTGAAGCTGTAGAATAGACTCCCAAAATACATGTACTGTTGGGAATTGTGCTGCAGTACTAATAGTCACTTGAATGATTTACTGAGTCTACGTTGACTTGGTATGTGTGTCTTGTGTTTGCATCCCTCCATTCATTCTAGGTTTATTTGCAGACAGGTGAATTTGTCACCTTATCTGGTCCTCTTCATATTTCAGAATGGTTCTAAATACTAAATAAGATAGTGATACGAAAACTTATCCCTTGATATCTGGAAAATTCAAAAAGACTTATTAAATTGTTCTTAAAATAACATTTATTGTTTTAAACTGTTATGTTTCCCATATTCAAAAACAGTTTTATTTTCATCATGCCTACACTGCTTTTCCTTAATAATTTTCCTTTGTTCTCTGTTAGATAATGAAATTGTGTGCTTCTTGAAAGTTCAGCTAGCTGAAGCTATTAACCTCCAAGACAAGAACTTGATGGCCCAGCTGCAAGAGACAATGCGGTGTGTAAGCCGCTTTGATAACAGGACCTGTCGAAAGCTGCTGGCATCTATTGCGGAGGACTATAGGTAGTTTGTTCAGTATCGTATTAATAATGGGTTTCCAAATGCGTATATTTATTCACTAGCAGATTGGGAAGATCCTTTTTGGTTTAAATTGTGCTTTACCAAATCAGGTTATTACATCTCTGCTTCCCCACAAAATGATGGAATTGTTTCATCTATCTGCGAATGGCTTAAAAAAGCTTGGACCTTAAGTTAGTTCACATAGTAATAAACTCAGAGTAAATCAATTTGTGGCTAATGTTCAGCTCTAACACACAAGAGATGCTGTTTGGAATTTACTTTAGTCTAGCATTCTGGAGTGCTGCAAGGGCAGTGAATTCAGTCAGAGAAATCTGTATAAGATGGAATTTCCTAATTCAGGTGTTATCTTTGTTTTAAAAACAAGTTGAAGATTCCTCTTGCACTACAACTTAACAGTTTATAAAACTATTAGCCTCTATCTTTATTACGAATCTAATGTAGAGCCCTCTTTATTTTAGGAAAAGAGCTCCATATATCGCTTATTTAACTCGATGTCGCCAAGGCCTGCAAACAACACAAGCACACTTGGAAAGGCTGTTGCAAAGAGTTCTGCGAGATAAAGAAGTGGCCAACAGATACTTCACTACAGTATGTGTGAGGTTACTGCTAGAGAGCAAAGAAAAGAAAATAAGGGAGTTTATTCAAGGTAAGATCAATGCAGACCGTGGAATGTTTATATTCCTTTACTCCATATTTAGATGCTGGCTCGGGTTAATGTTTTAAAATACAACTTCTGATCTGAGGAGCAGATTCCTAGAACGGTTTTCATTTCAGCTGGTGAATTAATGCCTTAAGTAGACAGATTACTGTGACTTAACAGTATGTTGTGGCAGCTAAGCCATGGTAACTGCATTTTTCATGGGCTAAGAGAATGAAGGTAATTTGACCTCGCTTGGCCTAAAAAGTTATGCTAAATCATATTATCTAGCATCTGCCCCACGGAGGAAGCATGAACACTCTTAATTATTTTAGATCTACTGATAAATGGTAAGTAAAGTTGCAGCATTCAGTCCTCAGTACAGAACCTGTGGTTGTACCTTGGAAGATATGGGAAATGGTCGTAGTATGAATCAAATGGATCAAAGATTCAAAAATATAGCACAAGGGATATTGGCACCAGGAAGACAACTCTCTCAAAACAGTCACTTAAAACAAACTATTTCTATGTTCTCTATGCACATACCTGACTTAATGAAGTACATAAGAAATTTGGAGTCAGTTCTTGTTCCTGGAGCATATAGTGCTGCATATTAAATGTGCCTGAATTGGCTGGAATTAGTGTGAACTTATATCTACTGGGATTAAAGTTGTGGTAATAAGATTCAGTGACCCAGGAAGGAGTTAAAGCCCTTTCCTCGGACAGAAAGGAGACAGCTATTTCTGGATGATCTAAAAGAGAAATTGGCAACGGTGGTGTTTAGGCTGCTGGCAGATGTGAGTGGCAGTTGTCTTCTGGTGCAGAGTGCTATAAATATGAAGCCAATGAACGGCTAGTGATTTGGTCGTGCTGCATTAACTTGGCTGAATCACTCATTCTGTATTTTTGTAGATAATTATGAATGTTGCAACTATGCATACTTAATAAAGGTAGGGGTAGGAAATGGTACACATGGGTTTTCTTGGTGTCCTCCCCCCCCTCACCCCTTTCAGCATCTGACAACTTTGCATATGCTGGTTCCTACCAGCGACTGTTCTAGTGATTGTTCTGGGTGTTATCTCTGTGGGTGGCTGGAAAGAAGGCATAAGAACTGGTACTGCAGAGGAAGGGATTAACACAGCATCAAGTAGAGTATTTTGACCATATGCTTTGCTAAATGTGTTTTATATGCTTTTCCTTTAATTCCTCCATTTATTTCAAGTGTTCCTGCTTCTATTTCCCTTACTGGGGCAAGGGCAAAACAGAGCCTTGGTGCTGCCTGGCAAGAAGTCTGAAGTAGATTCTGGGCTCTTCTTTCCAGAAAAACCTGTCAGAAATAATGTATTCTACTTAACGGAATGTTCTATCTCTTTTTACTTTTTATCAGATTTCCAGAAACTCACAGCAGCAGATGATAAGACAGCCCAAGTTGAGGACTTTCTTCAGTTCTTATATGGGGCTATGGCTCAGGATGCCATATGGCAGAATGCCAGTGAAGAACAGCTTCAGGATGCACAATTAGCTATAGAACGCAGTGTGATGAATCGTATTTTCAAACTTGCGTTCTACCCTAATCAGGATGGAGATATTTTGCGTGACCAGTAAGTTAATGTAATTTGAAGTACCTGGTTTCTCTTTTGCAGTTGGTGCAGATGGAAGCTGTGCAGTCTTCATGTGACAGACTTGACTAAGTCAGCCATGCCATAAAAACTCATGTTTTCTTTCAGAACATTTTGTAAAAGAACAAGGACGTGCTTTAGCATCATGTGGAAAAGTTTTTGTGTATGCAACAGTGCTAGAACAGAATAAAATTGTAAATGTAATGTCTTGGGATACAGACTTTCAGATCTGCAAGTGTGTTATGCTGAGAGAATGATCAAAATCTGCTTCAGGACTCCTTCCATTTTCTGTTTTGGTACAGTATTTTCCATGCATTTGGGGTTTTTTGTTTATTGTGTTTTAGAACATATGCTGTTTGAATGCTCTCCTGGCTGTGTGGTTGTACTTGATTGTATGGCAAAATCCTCTGCATCTCTTATTGACCTAGTGTCCATTAGCTGTAGGACCATCATGATTATATGCATTCCTGGAGATCTCTCTTCTAGTATCAAACTTAAAACCAGTGGGAAACCCCAGGGGACTGCTGGCTGGCTGCTGCTTACTTTTCACTCTTGTTTTCTGTGTTTGTTTTCAGGGTCCTTCATGAGCACATACAGAGGTTATCTAAAGTAGTGACTGCAAACCACAAAGCACTTCAGATACCTGAGGTAACAGCTTCTCCTTTCCTTCACTTTCGTGTGTGTGTCGGGGCGCTTGGTTTTGATTGTGTTTGGGATGGGGAGAGGGTTGTTTTGTTTTACACTTGGGAGCATTGCTTTTCTATCTGTGACAGCTGAAAGATCCTGCAGGAAAAACATGCTGTACACATGCTTTGGTATCTTCCACTGACTGATCCTTCCAAATTCATTTTTTTCTGATTTTTCCGCATCTGCCCTGATAGTAAGATTTAAGAACTAATACTACACTGCACTAAGATGCAGTAACTCTCTGATAATTTGCTTCAAAAGACAAGATTTGAATCCTTATGCTTCTGACGTTATTCGTATACCATAGCTGTGGTTTACAGCTGTCAGGTTAGCTTTCTGAACTTAATGGAACCTTGCAGTTCTGTGAATTTGCCCAGTGCTTTTGCCTTTCTCATGGTTAATACGATAACTAAAAGCAGGTTGGTAGGCTTAAGAAGTCTGTCAGAGGCTGGATGTTTGCAGCTTTCTTAGTTCTAAATTCAGCACTTGAACTGTATGACTCAAAACGGTGAGTGTTCATAAAGCTTTGGGGTTGGACTAGATGACCTTTAGAGGTTCCTTCCAACCCAAACTATTCTATGGTATGGAAGACTGAGACATACAGCTCTACCTTCATTTCAAACAGTGTGCTGGAGAAGTACAGGCTAATTACGTTAGTTGCATATAGAGTGCTGGCTCCTTGTAGTTTTTTATTCTAACACAGCAGGAAGCCACCTTCATTGTGAGTGTAATGTAACCACCTTGACTTAAAGCTTCCCATTTTTCCAGAGCCTTGCTCCTGCCTGCAAGTCTCTGTGGTGCACAGTAGTAGCTTGGACAAACAAGAACTGGCAGCATGTTGGTTTTTTTCCTAGGTATATCTCCGGGAGGCACCATGGCCATCTGCACAGTCTGAAATCCGCACAATAAGCGCTTATAAAACCCCCCGAGACAAAGTACAGTGTATCCTGCGAATGTGTTCAACCATCATGAACCTGCTTAGTCTGGCAAATGAAGATTCAGTACCTGGGGCAGATGATTTTGTTCCTGTTCTGGTCTTTGTCCTCATAAAGGTGAGTTCTTTTGCAAAGATCACAAACCCCAGCTAATTGCTTGTAATAAACAAGCAAATTTTAGGAAGAAAAATAATGCATTTGGGTAACTGGGAGCATGCTAGACTCAAAACCAGATCTAAATCAGCAGGTTTAAATAGAAACATCAGAAATGTGGTCACAGTTGCGGTTTTTGAATGCAAGCAAACTTTGCATTTGGAACCAGGGAAATAGGGGTGCAGGTGTTTGTGTGCAGAGTGGGGTTTTTCTGAGGTGTGTCCACCAGAATCTGTCATCTGTGCCTGCTTAACGTTGTCCTCTTTCAGGACCAAGATCCACACTAGGACTGACTTGCATTGTGTTGCTGACTTTTTTTTTTTTTTGACATATGAGTGTTTGGAGAATGGTTTGTCATATATAAGATGCTAAAACAATAGGCTTTTCCACGTGTTGAAATCCTTGATGACTTTTCTGGATTCTGCCAGCGTTACCCTTCTTTCTCTTGGCCTGCTAGTTGTTTTCCCTTGTTGGAAAAATGCTCCTTTCATCAAGTCTGATGCATTCTGAGTGTGTGAAATGGGTAAACAGTCACTACCCTACAGATACGTTACATAATCATGGGTTATGAATGTGTGAGCGTCACTGTACAAATAGAATCGTATTTCTATTCTGTATCTTGTAATGTTTTATGTTCAGCTTTGCAAACAAGCTGTGAGTATCTCTTTCTTCTTTAACCCTCAGGCAAATCCACCTTGCTTGCTGTCCACTGTTCAGTACATTAGCAGTTTCTATGCCAACTGTTTATCTGGGGAAGAATCATACTGGTGGATGCAGTTCACAGCAGCAGTTGAATTCATTAAAACTATTGATGATCGCAAGTAACGCAAAGAGCACATGTATGGGCAGACTGTTAGCAGAAGAAGAGTATGTAAGAATGTACAACAGCTGCAAAAGCTGAAGAAGAGACTTTCCTTGTATAATACTGTACAGAATTGAGGCATTTTAAAACACACCTTTACTAATCAAATTAATTTAACAGATTTTCCTCTTCTCTTTTGGTTGCGTTTTTCTCCCCTATAGATACTGGCACTGCAAAAGGGACCACAGTTTTTCAGGTATTTTGAAATCTCAAAACATGCAGAAAATTCTTCATGCTTTTTCCACCACCCCTCTTCCTGAATTCTTACTCACGTGAATAATTCACTTCATTTAATTTCTAATAGAAAACTGAAACAAGAAGAATCAGGGCAACCACTTAGTATACTTTCTAGCTTAATACACCTTTTATTAATAAAACACCAGCCACACTGAAAGTTTGTAGTAGCTGACATTAGTTATCAAATTGTATTTCACCTAAATTTAAAACTGAGAGGACAGTGTAAATATTATATGCCTATATTTAATGCATTGCAATTATCTTTGGACTCATTATCCTTTGAATAAACAAGCAAAAGCCTCTGTGACCTCTAACAGGTTGTGACATACTCTGTTTTGGTAATGAAAGGACTTCCTCGAAAGGCTAAGATTAAAAAAGGGCAAACTGAACTATTTATTAAAATGTAATTAAGATTACTGAAATTTCTAAAACTGGAATTTATAATAGACAGGGCTTATTAGATAGCTAAACACTTTTTGGCTAGGGCATTAGGGTGTTATAAAGGTTTGGATATATAGAGGAGAGGGACTGTAAGTTACAATAGAGAAGTCTAATATAAAACAGGAGAAATAAAATACCTTACTGTAATATTTTTTTCTGAAATATTGTGTATACTGTACAAACCCCAAACAGAGATCCTTAACAGAACCTTGGACTGTAATATATATTTTGATTAGTGACATTAAATACATATGCCAGGGGTTTCAGTGAATGTTTTTACTAAATGTTCTTCGTGTTGTCTGCTATGCAGCAGTGCAAGTTTTACTGTTCATATAAAATATTTTAAAATATAACACTGTTCTTTATGAAACATATCATGACATCAGTTCAGGGTGTTTTATAGATCTCTCACCCCACCTTTCCCTTAAACTGACAATTATCAGCTTAAAGAAGTTTTTATGCACAACACCACATGGATTTTTCATGAGTGAAATGGTCTGAGTGATGGCCAGTGGTTGTTATCTGTATATAAGCACTTGCCGTTCTTTTTTAGCTAGAATTACAGTGAAAAAGGACAGCGAGCATTTAACTTTTTCATGTCAGTATTATTTCTTGCTCTTCCCAGAGTGTTCATTGCACTTCTGACAGAGGGATGTGTTAAGACTTGGTGTCTGTGAGTGGTAAAGAAAACAAAATCTTTCTCGCATTCTTTTCAAAATATGACTGATTTTTTTGTGTGTGTGTGCATTTTGATGATTAAAACCTGTAAGCAACTAGTACTTGGAAAAATCATTTGGTTAACTGAAATTAGAGCAATTTAAAAGTATCAAGTGCTTGATTTGGCTGTGCTACTTGTCAAGGCATAATTAAAGAAACTTTCTAGGACTCTAATATGTAATTCAGTATAGCATTTTTGCCAAACTAATCACAGGTGAGAGGGTGGGATGGTAACTTTTTTCTTTTCTTTATAGTCTTTCTCCTCTGTTAGAGGTTTGATTGTGTGGAGGAGCAATACTCAGTAGAAACGAAATTCTTCTGATCTGCCTTACTGTGGTAACTGTCTGTGTAGCATTGCAATATTCTAGTTATTTAGCCTTGATGGGTTTTTGGTGCTGAACATGTAACTTAATATTGCAAGCACAGCCCTCACCAATAACACTCAGCAGCGAAGCACAAATACGCCCTTGAAGATATGGCCAGATCGTATCTAAAAGCAATATAAATTTATTTATATTGAAGTGTCCTGTAATATTTAATTATTACTTGAATATCTGAGATGTTAAGACCGATGTATGAAAGTTCTTTCAGTCCTGCGGTTTGGGTTTTAGTCGAGGAGAGTATTTTTACAATCCTTAAAGAAGGCACAAAGACACTTAAGTTGGTGATTGCCCTGTGCATTCTGTTTGCAAACTTGGCAAGCAGGATTTGATCAGCACCATCAGGTCTTTCAGATTTGCTCTCCTTTATGGAAGGGGCAAGCACCGTTTCCTTCACAATTTTTATCACTTTCTTTCTCTGCGTAGAAAAATACTTAACTGGAGTCCTTTTTTTTTTTTTTTTTTTGTAATTATTATTTTAAAACCAGTAAGTGTTTCAGTGAGCCCCAGATGAGCTGAGAGTCTTCATGGCAGGATGGTCCTTTGCTTCTTTTTTTTCAGCCTGCTCCGAAAGTCCTTTATATAGTCTTGATAGGTGTACTTAGAGAATTAGGCTTTCCAAAGAATTAGAAAACTTCCTGTAATATCCTCGTACTATTTTCCCCTGGTGTCCTGTAACGTTTTGTTTTAAAATGATAAATTACATGTATAGGAAGTGATGTTGTTAGGTTTTGGTGTGCAATAGTAAAGGTGAAAAGACAGTGCATAAAGGACCAAAAGTAACAGAACTGTTGCCAAAAGGTGCCAGCCAACCATGTACCTGTTGCTGTAAACTTGGTGCTTTCTGTTAATTAAATTACTTCAACCACTGAAGGATGAATGGAACATTTTAGGGAAAGGGCCGGGGGGGAGAGGTCGTTAGTAGCAGATTGCAGTCATGGACTTAAGGCTCGGTCGTTGACTTCAGCGCTGGTTGTTGGCGTGTCTGGAGGAACTGCCAAATCAAACGATGGCCTGGCTATGCCTGGTAATATTACAGAGGTGGTGTTTTCCCTTTTTGGGTGGAGGAGTGAAAGGAAAGGGCTGGTTTTTTTCATCCCTAGGAGATTCCTTTTTGCTCCTAACCCTAAATGAGATTTCTCTTTAAAGCTTTTTTAAATCCTCTTTAAGGGGAATTGGAACGTGTACGGCCTATTAAGTATTTGAGTTTAAAAGTTTTTGTTTTGAAGACCTTATACTACCAAATGCTGAATGTAACTGCCATAAATTTCAGGAAAAAAAGCCACGAACATGATCCTGTTTCCTGTAGGTGAGTTTCTGGTGAGCATAGCGTTGGTTCGTATCACTTGAAACCGTTAATGTTCTGTTAAGCCAAATTCTCGCAGAAGTTTGAGAACTCACTGCCATGTTAATGCTGAGTAGTATGTGGAGGAAGGGGGGATAGGACAGAACAGGAGCAGCGGGAGGAGGCAGACCTGTTCAGCAGCAAAGCTTCAGGCGAGTGAAGCGTGTGGTTGGCACGAGTGACTTGCGTGGCTGTGCTGCCGTACAGACTGTGCAGCGTGACGGGAGAGCTGGAGCAGCAGGAAAGCGGTGGACAAGGAGGGGGAAGAATACTCTTATTTGGGTAACAGCTGGTGACTCGGTTGAGCCTGTACTACTTGAGAATTAATCTCTGCTGAGTTAGTAGTGTATGTTCTGTACCTTTTAATTGTGCTTTACCTCTATTTAAAAGCTTTGTACTGCCTCTCCTCTTTGAAACTGGTAAAGCCTTTATAAATCTAAATTAATGAGCTTGCACAATCTTGTATACAGGAAACCCATCTTGTCTCTAATGTGATTATTAATGTATTATTCTGTAAAAACTGATTAAAAGGAGAGCAGTTTAACCGCCTGGGTTTCATGTTTCTGCCTTGTTCTAATGCCATCAGCAGTTGTGCTGGAGATGGCATTGCAAGCGTGAACAACTTACCACTAACTTTGCATGGTTTCCGTTTAACATCGCTGCCGTGTTGTATCTGCGGTGCCTTCTTTCACGTGTGTGCCGACGGCTCGCAGGGAGTGGACAGTGGCAAAAAAGAAGCAAGATCCAGTTAACGGGACAGGATGCACTGCTGACTTGGCCGCTTAACAGGGAGCTTTTCAGTTATTTTTTTTTTAATCATGCAGCTTGGCTGTCCTAGTAGCTTGAGGGGAAAAAATAGGTACCTGCTGTCAGACCACTAAGGTGGCTCGCCTGGGGACAGCCACCGGGACAGTGTCCAGTCTTCCGCTGTGTGCTGTTTGATGCCTTGATTGGAGTGGGCAAGTCTAAAAGGACTACGTTTCAGTCATCTTACTTCTTAAGAAATGTTAACGTCGGCTACATGACAGTAGGATCTCAGCAGCTGCCTTGCAGCCGCCCTGGTCCTGATGCGTCACTCACCCATGGGTGGGTGGGTGACATGTCGGGACCAGGGCGGCTGCACGGCGGCTGCCTGGTGCTGCTGTGAGTTCGGTCCCCCCAGTGTTATTGACCTTGACTCTCTCTCATTTGCATCCAGCATTTTTCATCCTCTGGAATATGGTGTTTGGGGACCTTTCCATCATTAAGTGGATTTACAGCAATTTCCTTATGTGTTTTCTCCAAGGGATTCTGTTATGAGAGGCACATTAAATCTCCATTAATACCTCATTATCCGACTGATAAGATTACCATGATAATGAGGCAGAAATTCTAATTGTTTCACTTCTTATTGTGCCTTTCATTAAATCATATACCTGGAAGTTGCTGTCTGAGAGGGGAGCTCCAGCCTGCAGACCACGGGAGGTGAACCTGTCCCTGTGCACCCTGGTCCTATCCCCGGTGCTTGAGGGATGCTGGAGCGTGCTTGCCTTTCCTCCTGGGCTCCTCCGCCTCCTGCCATGGCCTCTCCTCCGTGGCCGTGCTACCACGAGGGCTTCCAGGGGCCCCAGGGCCTTTGGTAACCTGTGCTGGGGAGCATGTTTTTGGGGAGAGGACATTTCGCACAGCCCTGTGCTGTGGTTTTACACAGCCGCTGGCTCCTGAGGGCGTTTAAGTGCAGGGGTGTGCAGCCTCCTTCGGAGCTGTTACAGCCCATCAGGTCAATGATCCATGAACTAAAAGTCTCTAAGCAGGAGCAATTATTGTCTATCATGTGTCAAAGGCACCCGTATTGACCCCGATAGATGGAGCCATTATGGTCTGTTGAGTCAACGATCCATGAACGGGGAGTCCCTGGGAGCAGAGGTCTTGCCCTGCCATGCCAGCACCATCCCGTCCATCCTCTCCCTCACTGAGGGATGTGTGGGGTGCTGGGGTAGGGACGGATTTGGGGTGTGTGGAGTGGGTGCTGCCAGCTACCACGTCCTGCCCGCATCACCCTGCAGGCTGCCGCAGCCAGGCTGGGGTGGGAGAAAGGTCCCCCTGGGCCCCGAGGTTCCCCAGGGGATGATCTGCGTCCGCACCGGCCCCCCTGGCTCCTATTTCCCCAGGGTGTTCACAGGGGTCCCCTGTGACCAGCACGACCTGGGCTCTGGCTCCGGGAGAGCTGACACCTTTGTGGGGCCGTGTCGGTCACACGCTGCTGGTGAGAGCCTCTGCCTCGTCCTGGCCGGGAGCCCGCGGCCGACCTCATCGGGAAACGCCACGGGTGCCCCACTTGGCACCAGATCTGGCTCCAGATCTGCCAGCTCCTTATGGGGGGCCTGAGCTGTCCCTGTGAACAGCTCTGTTCCTCGGGATCAGCTTATGGCCGGGTAGCGGAGCCCACGGTAGGTGGCACCTCTCGCCCTGTGGGGCAGGGGGTCACCAGGATGAGGACCGAGGACCGCGGGCGCCCCTGCTTTCAGCACAGTAGTGGCATCGGGCGCGGAGCCCTGGCAGAGCCCAGAGCCGGGGTGCAGGCAGCGCTGTGCCACCCTGAGGGGAGATGGGGCCGGGGGCCCAGCACCTGTCCCCCCACCCAGGCTCCTCATGTCCAGCTCTGTGGCAGAAAATAACGTTATCCTGCACAAGTGGACTTCGTTAGGCTCCTCCCGCGCTAACGAGGCGATGTCTCCATAGTAACTGGCACATTTGGAGGGCAGGAGGCACAGGGGGACAGGAGACAAAGCCTGTGCGGGAGCGGCGGGCAGACCCCACAGCA